CACTGCTTCTATCTTCCGCGAGTCCATTCATCGACAACAAATCATGTAGAGGGTTCAGAGATGCTGTGTGGTACCGTTCCACCTAAAAGCGCATCGACGCAACCAATGTATTGTTTGTGACTTTTTCAGTGGCTCTCTACGGCTTTCAATGGCCAATGGCGCTCTCCACGGCTTGAATACATACCCAATAGCAATTTGTAAATCTCAGCGAGAATGGAAAGCCAGCAAAGTCTGCACGAGAATCACAAAAGAGATTCACTCGCCTTGGGGACGCTGTGCGCGGCGAGGTAGGCGGCCTTGCCCAGCATCAGAAAGCTCCTGACGAACCGGTTGTCAGGACTCATCTAAAAGGGAAAACGCGTGCACACGGGAAAATAACGACAGGAAGGTCAGCACCCGAACAACACACTGGGCTGCACGTTGCTCACACATCGTGTGCGGCGATGGATCATTTGGATTGAGACGAGTAAGAAGCGATGGTAACCTACAGTTGTGTACAGAGCCTACGGAACGTGACGACGGCACATCTACAACGTGCTACGGTACATGTTGTGCTGCTGTTGTCTAGTCCTCGCCCAACCTTGCACTGCTGCATCACGTACGTACGTGCACATTGACCAAAAGGGCCCCGATCAAACTCTTTCCTCGACGGTGGCAATCGAACCCGGGCAATCGCGCTCGATCCCTTCGAAAAGGAATGGAAGACGCGAAATGGCAGTCGCTTCATCCCCCTTAGTAGCGTTCGCGATGCGCTTCTTCGCGCGTTGAGATTGCCGGTCGGAGACGACGGTAAATCCCACGGTCTTCAGGGTTCTCTTGATCGCGGGACCGATCTTGGGGTTGGCCCTAACCAACTAACTGGTCCACCAGAGGTTGTACGACTGCGGAGCTCGTCCGCTCGCCCCCAGCACAATCAACGTGCGAGCCCTCTACCTTGGTGATATTGAAATCACCGCCCTTCTGTTGGAAGGCCTTAACAGCCCAACTTGTGCAAGTCTTGCACACCAGGTGAATTTGCCGACTGCCGACACCCTTTCCATTCTTCATGGAACGGCCGGTGGCAGTAAGCTCAGCGGCTACGGCGACCTGCGCGGCATGGCGGCTGGAGAATATCTGCCCTGCGGTAACGGGCACTACCGTGGTGGACAAACCCGCCGCCGCCGCTCCTGTGCTGCCCCTCGCGCCTCCTTCCATGATTGATGTCAAGAGCGTGTCTGTGTGTGCTGGTGCTGCCTCTACCCTCCGCCCGCTCAGCGCAGCGCCACACATTGGCACATGCATATATCGCCCCGGCGGTCTAGTGGGTATCTTCGCAGCCTGCTAAGGGTCAGGTCATGGGTTCGAGTCCCGGCAGAGTGAGTTTTTTCTCTCTAAATGAATCCTGGTCTAGGATGAAAGCGACGCGCCGCAGAGTTCGTTGTTAGCAAACCATAATCGACTTCGTAAGTCGCGAGGGAAGGTATTGCTGGACCCTTCTCGCGATAAAAATGTCTCAGGCAGGAACCGGAGGAGGGGGTCCAACCCCCCCCTCCTGTGGGACCCTGATTGGGTCGTCTAGCTAGTAGAAGTGGAGGATAGGGGCCAGAGGGGCAGACGACAGAGTCCAATGATGGGAGAAAAAAAATAAATATACTTCTATATATATAGGCTATGGATGTCAATCGTGTTGGATCGGTTTCGCTTTCATAGCGAGACCCCTGCATCTCGCATGTAGACTGCAGCAAGCGGTGGTCCACGGGGTATTATACGCGTGTGTGCATGTTTCCAAACGGAAGAGTTGTGCTGGGGTTGTTGTTGTTGTTGTCTTCACACTTAAACCATTCCGATCTCTCTCTACCCAGTACCTTCATATGTTCGTATTGATCCAACACTCGACGCGGTCGATTCCCGTGGTCACAGGTTAACTTACCCTAAAAAGGTACACTCAAATAAGCTAGCCCCGAGGGGTTCGCAAGTCAATAGAAATCAACGACAGATATTCTGGGGTCCTCCACTCCCTCTGCGCGCTATGCGAGGTAACAACTGAGACTAGGAGTCACCATCGCAGGCCGGAGAGAAAGGGGTACACCCCCTTGGTACAATCTTGGTACATCACAACGCAAGCAGAGACAAGGCCATCTGGCACAGTAAAAGAGAGTAAAAAGGGAGGAAAAAAGGGAGAAAAAAAGAAACAGAGAAAAAGAGAAGAAATTAAAGGAAACAGTAAAAGGAAAGACAAAATGAAATGAAAAAGAGCGAGGTCAGCCGAAAATAACAAGAGATAGACAGAAAAAGGCACACGGTGGAGAGACCACTAGCGAACAAGCAACCACGTAAAAATGGCCACCAACCAGCGATACATTGTAATGGTACGTCATCACTAGTGGGGGGTTGGTGCAATGGTGCAGCGTTGGGCGGGGGGAATTGGCCAATAGAAATTCAATCCGGCACGTATCGCGCCGCTCGGTCCGTCCCTTCTCGTTTGCTTTCTTCCCTCGCCGCCTCGTCCTTCTTCTACCCCCTCCCGCCCTATTGGTTGTTGGCTTGTGGTTTCGTTTGAGCGCCCGTTGTCGGCTGGCCTCTTCTTCCTTCTCGTGCCAGGAGGTCATGAACCTCTCAGCTCCCTGATCGTTGTTAGCAAACCATAATCGACTTCGTAAGTCGCGAGGGAAGGTATTGCTGGACCCTTCTCGCGATAAAAATGTCTCAGGCAGGAACGGGAGGAGGGGGTCCAACCCCCCCCTCCTGTGGGACCCTAGTTGGGTCGTCTAGCTAGTAGAAATGGAGGATAGGGGCCAGAGGGGCAGACGACAGAGTCCAATGATGGGAGAAAAAAAATAAATATACTTCTGTATATATAGGCTATGGATGTCAATCGTGCTGGATCGGTTTCGCTTTCATAGCGTGACCCGTGCATCTCGCATGTAGACTGCAGCAAGCGGTGGTCCACGGGGTATTATATGCGGGTGTGCATGTTTCCAAACGGAAGAGTTGTGCTGGGGTTGTTGTTGTTGTCTTCACACTTAAACCGTTCCGATCTCTCTCTACCCAGTACCTTCATATGTTCGTATTGATCCAACACTCGACGCGGTCGATTCCCGTGGTCACAGGTTAACTTACCCTAAAAAGGTACACTCAAATAAGCTAGCCCCGAGGGGTTCGCAAGTCAATAGAAATCAACGACAGATATTCTGGAGTCCTCCACTCCCTCTGCGCGCTATGCGAGGTAACAACTGAGACTAGGAGTCACCATCGCAGGCCGGAGAGAAAGGGGTACACCCCCTTGGTACAATCTTGGTACATCACAACGCAAGCAGAGACAAGGCCATCTGGCACAGTAAAAGAGAGTAAAAAGGGAGGAAAAAAGGGAGAAAAAAAGAAACAGAGAAAAAGAGAAGAAATTAAAGGAAACAGTAAAAGGAAAGAGAAAATGAAATGAAAAAGAGCGAGGACAGCCGAAAATAACAAGAGATAGAGACAGAAAAAGGCACACGGTGGAGAGACCACTAGCGAACAAGCAACCACGTAAAAATGGCCACCAACCAGCGATACATTGTAATGGTACGTCATCACTAGTGGGGGGTTGGTGCAATGGTGCAGCGTTGGGCGGGGGGAATTGGCCAATAGAAATTCAATCCGGCACGTATCGCGCCGCTCGGTCCGTCCCTTCTCGTTTGCTTTCTTCCCTCGCCGCCTCGTCCTTCTTCTACCCCCTCCCGCCCTATTGGTTGTTGGCTTGTGGTTTCGTTTGAGCGCCCGTTGTCGGCTGGCCTCTTCTTCCTTCTCGTTCCAGGAGGTCATCAACCTCTCAGCTCCCTGCAGCACCGCCGCATACCAGGGTACTCCCCCCTCCACCTTCGCGGCTTCCGTCCACTTCAACGTCGGTGCCGTGTCTTTCGGTACCGGGATTCCGAGACAACATGGATCGGTTTTCGTAGATCCGTGGTCGGCCCCGAATGCCTTCAGGTCGTCGAGCACACGCTTCGGCCAGTTCTGTTACTGTCCCCCCCTACGTCGCTTCTCCCCCCCCGCCACTTCGCCAACATCAGTAGTTTCGGGAGTCGCCCGTCCGGCTGCCTTGCCATGCTCCCGCGAACAGTAGGCGTCGTTGTCGGATCGTGGCTTCATCGCTCTGGCATCCGACCCCCTTCAGCGCCTGGGGATAAGAGAGCTGCCGGTAGGTGTCTTTCTGGCGCTTGTACCCGATAATTGGAAGGAGTAGTCGGTGGTGTATCGACCGCAGCGTCTGATGGTGGCCGCTGAGTGGTGATCTTTCATGCAGCCGTACAGCAGGGCCTCCATCGCCTAGAGCAGGCGGATCTTGAGTCGGATTGGCGCTTTTGGTCTGTCGAAGAGCTCCCGGCCATATCGCCTGAGGCACACCCACGCTTCACTGCTCCTGTAGTTGATCTCCCGGGTTAGGTCGCCATGTTCGTTGACGAGGCCACCGAGGTACCGGAACTCGGTCGTCTGGGCGTAATTCTGTCCCGCGGCTTCGATGGTCAGCGGTGGAGGCGGGGGGGGCTGTGATGTTGTAGTCGGCTTGTCCTTTGCTCGAATCAGGACCGTTTCCGTCTTCTTCTCCGACATCGTAGCCCGAACTCCCCGGACACATTAACGATGCTGGTCATCATTCTCGCCAGCCCTTCTCCAGACCTAGATTCGACGCCGTCATCATTGGCATACAACATCCCCCATACTGCCCTCCGTACTCGGTCAAGGGGTGTCTCCTCCCCCCCCACCGCTTCCGTCTTCCCCTCCTCCAAGCATACCAGGCTCCGCAGAGCAACATCATCCTCGGTGAATCGGATGACAACGACCTCGAGGACCTCGGCGAAGAAGATGTTGAACAGCAGGGGGAATAGCACATCCTTGTCGCACGCCCTGTGTCACGAAGAAGCAGTCCGATGCTTCTCGGTCGTCCATGCCCACCCGGGCCCGCATTCCATGGTGGAAATCGGCGGATGACTTCGATCAAGTTCGCGGGGATCCCGGCCCTGGCCAGGACCTTCAACAGCATCTCTCGTTCCACCGAATCATACGCCTTCTTCAAGTCGACGAAGCACATGTAGAGCGGTCTTTTCCTTCTCCGCCCTATCTCCTGGAGGCTGCGCACGACGAACAGCATGTCGACGGTGGATCGCCCGGGTCGAAATCTGCACTGTTCCTCCGGGAGGATGTTGTTGGGGTATTGCCCGGCTGCCATTGTTGATTTAGAGCGGAAGAGTTGATGGTTGGTATTGTTTCGCAGGGGCGGAACTCATTCCTGCCCCGTTGTCATGGTTGTTATTGGGCGGGAAGATTCGCCGTCTGGTATCCCATGGTCGGAGGGGAAAAGGAGTTGGGAAGATTCCTGCGGGGGAAATGATTGATGAAAGGGTCTCATCTTCCGTCAGGTCAGGGTACATTTCCGAAAACAGGGTGGTACAGTTCTTGAGGAAAGTAGCCACGGCAGGGTATACCCTGCGCCTTTTCGGACACACCGGGGTGAAATTGGGCGCTGACCAATCATATGAGTGCATTTACTGCTGTCAATGACTGTGTGCCCAGGTGTGTCGTTTTTCGACCAGGGTATACCCTGTTGTGTCGTTTTCCCTTCATGCATTGTTCTGTACTGGACAAGAGAAGACGATAATCGTGCCAAAACGTTCTGCGCAGGACGCACACCAAGTCATATTACGCACGCCCACTGAGAGACATGCACCGGCGTATACAACTTGGCGTCATCTCTGAAAAGGGGGGGTTCGTCAGCTGTCGTCGTCGTCGTTGCGGTCGCTGTCGTTGTCACGGTCGTATCAGCAACCACACCACAGTGTTCATCGTCGTCGGGACGGGCATGATCTCTTCTCCACCGCTAGTGCAATGGTTTGGAGCAGCGATGGCGTGGGACGCGCCTCCGTCACCAGAAGCTCGCGTCGCACGTGGGCGGTCTCTCTTTTGACCTACCGTAAGCTGCGGAGTGTTGGCCCCGATGCGGGATAAACAAGTTGTGCCGATCAACGACGACTCTGTGGACTGGTCGGGCGGGGAGGGGGGAGGGTCGATTTCTCTGAATATCGATTCCACGGGGCCACTCTTCCGCACTGACAATATTCCGGGTCCAAAGTGGGGTGGTGGGGGAAGCTAGCTCATGGGGTGGTGGGACAACCTACCACAGGTCACGAAACGGATTAGCTTCGCGGTCGTACGGCCCCCAAGGCTCCTACAACCAAGACCCAATCCTGATCACCACGGTACATGTATTCTGGATGAGGAAACGTCCTGGCCCCACCCCGCTCCTAGATTATTCTCCCCAGGGCCGCTAGATTATTCTTCCCGGGGCCAGCTCGACGATGGGGAAGAGTTTTTTTTGTGTGTCTCTGGATCTCGACCGGACGGGCCCAAGCTTGCTAGTGGACTAGAGGTTGGGTCTAACGCAGCGGGAGGAGGCGCAATTCAGGGCGGGGAGGCAACTTACCAAAGACTATGGCACACGGAAGATGAGGAAGATCGGCCAACCCATTGAATTGTCGAATATCAACGGCGGAATTCTCAAGGGTGCCTTCAGCACCAAAAAAGAGCTACCGCTCTTCAATCTCCGGAGATGCAAGGTTACATTTTTCTCCGAAAAGTGAACCCGCACAGGCTTTCGGCAGCCATCTTTTCGGATGACAAACCAGCCTGATCATGGCGGTTCTTCATTTTGTTGCGGTTCGAGACTGGAAAGTTGCCCACGATGGACACCTTACCCATGCGAAGCAATCACAGGCAGAGACCGTTTACGGGGAGGAACAAACCGCAAAAAACGAAGCAAGAAGGTCAACAACTATCACAAGACAAAAAAAATCCGTGGTAAGTCTAGAGTCTAGGCCCAAGGCACTCAAGTTAGATGTGCCAATGGTTGCATGGCGACCGGTGACGTGTAAGAAGTGGCAACTTAGCGCGTGGAGAACCGCATACGGAGACAGTCGGTAGGAGAGACTCGTGTTGATACGGATTTTGTACGGCGACAACGCACGACCCATTCCAGGCTGTTGCTTTCTTCAAGCCCGCAACTGGCGATCGCCGTCACCAGATGTCGAAAGCAGGGTTGGTGATGCGACGAACGTAAATATGTGTAAACACGGCAAGATCTACCTTGCAACAAACCAAAAACACACAGTTTGTCTACGAGCCACTTCTAATCAAAGCTCACCACGCACGCTGCCACCGTCTTCAGACAGGATGAGACCCACACACTCCTGTACGCGAGAAAGATAAAGCGGCTCCTCCATGGTACGCTAGTCTTCAAAACTCTTCTCGTTGAGATCACTCGATCCCTGTAGGGTTGTCAACCACACGAGCGCGCCAACCATGAGCGGGGCTCCCAAGGCAAAACAAAACAATATTCCACCCTGGCCCCACTTGCACACAACACCGACTGCCCAACGCGCACAGCTCTATCTCCCCCATCCCGTCCCTCATTCTACTCCATGCACAACATATAACTGTCCTCGGCAAACAACGAAAAAAGGATAATTTTATTCACACGTTCACGGTTCACGTGACACAAATGTACCGTCATCAGCAACACCTGATATTGCAAGACCACACGGGTGAAGCCCGTGTGAGCCAATCAAATCTGAGCATAACCTCTGGAAACAGACGTCGGAGACGTCAAAGCTGTATTACTTCGGCGAAGCGTCCTCTAGCGTGAGGAAATGCCCTTCCTTTCGCGCCTGGGTTTCCACATAAAGTCTGGCGAACACGATCCGGGAAGGAGACGGGGATACCCATCAAGACAGGGGGGGGGGGGGG